CTGCGAAATTGTCAAGTGTCCCGTGTTCAAATTCTTCCTCCTCGCTACCACACGGTGACGTCATCAGAGCCCTTCGGAGTCCCAAACCCAATGGCAATGTGCTCGAAGACGCTGCACCGCAGATGCCGGTGCTCGACTGCGAATCCGTGTAAGTAGTGTTCTCATTCAGGAACGTGTTTTCGTACCGGGTTCTTTTAGACTCACATAACTTACCCAAGCTTTTATTCTCTCATGGATTTTCTCAGAAGATGTTTACCACTAGCCTGTGGAAGTGAGATACTGTTGGAATGGCTTTTCTTGAACGGTGAGGTTGATAGGAGTTTAATCAACACTATCGATTTCATTGTGTGACTGCTGCTTCCACTTATTGCAACGGTTGCCACCCTTCTATTAACCGAATCCAGCTCTCCTACATAGGAGAAGTGTATTCCACCACTGAATTAAGAGCTTCGTGAGAGTGACACTTTCGGATTCGTACACAAGCGCCTTCCCAGACAAGGAACTACTGACAGGGAGGCAGTGGAGGTGGCGATTGCAATGCCGCCGCAAGCCTATTGATAGGCAGGCCGTGCTAGATTCACGAGTGTTCGTACTCGATGTGACGATTATCTTGCCAGCCACACCTGAATCGTTATTCGCCACGCCTTCTTCTGTGTTGTCGACGATAGGGGGATAGGAATTCCTCGTAATACTAGTGGCCTTGCACTAAATTTAAGGAAAGGTATCCATGCCCGCGTCCTAACCGTAACTTCAAAGTTAACCTTAGCCCTAGCGTAACCCGAACCCTTGAATTTACCGCAAGACCACCTGCATTGCGGGTTTTTCCTATTCTTCTGCCCTGTCGATACTGGCTTGGTAATTTGGGTTTTCAATACCGTACTCTGCACTCCTTCCGTGCAGTTAATTAATACGTTCAGGTTACCTTACTTAATTCTGCTTGGATTGAGGAAGTGGAAAGTTGTGTTCCCATATAAATGTACTGGCTCGATGAGAATTCATCGAAAACTTACATATGCTCGCCAACTGCTATTCTGGGTTGTCATGTTTGTTGATGACCCAAGAACCAGAACTCAGATGCATCGTCGTTCACTTT